ATTTAAAAGATGGCATTCTTCCCAAACAGTCATTATTAAACCAATAACCCTACGTTACCTCCAGCATCAAGGGGCAATGTGCTGTTGGAGGCAAGACAGAACAAAGGTCCTGGCTGTGGTAATTGCAAAAGGGCTTAGGGGCTGTTCTCTTCAGGGAAGGGAGAGAGATGCAGCCTGGCCAAACTCCAGTGCGTGTGGTTTTAAAGATCCTCACCCGAGTTGTATTGTGTTGATGTGAAGCGTTAAAGAGCTGCCACTTCTGCACCCATGCCTGGCTGAGTTGCAGGAATTATTTTCACCATCTCTTTGCCAGCAATGACATCTCTCATGACTTTTATCGTGGAATGGGTGCGTGTTTGTAATCAGCTTGGAAAATCTGTTTCTGAGCTTAATTCTAAAGCCTCATCTTTGCTACAGAAACAACTGGACTCAATAACACAGCCTTCCCTCCCTTTAGCAGCATGGGGAATGATTTGCTGTCCTGGGAAATTGGTCACAGCATAAGCCCGCAGGATTTTGCAACATCAGTGTTTGATGCCTTCAGTTTAAGTGCTGAACACACTGTACAAGCACAAGCGGACAGCCTGAACTGGGAGCTCTTCTGTAGCGCTAAAATTGGCAATCACTGGGGGAACCCTGTGAGCTAATCAGTAGTTCGTGAAGCAATTTTATCGATTCACAGTGGGAGGCAAGGAGTTAATGCCAAGGTTAAAAACACTACAGAATTTGTCTCAATTCTTTCAATTCCGGTAATCTTAAAAATCACCTTGCACGTTCCTACAGCAAACTTGCTTGAGAAACATTTTAATTAAATGCCTTCACAAAATGTCTTTCTGAATAAACAGACCACTGGGGTTTTGCCTGGCTTTTCAAGGGCAAGGATGTCAACCACCAGCCTAAGTTGAGGCAGACCAGCCATAAATGCATTGCACTGTGGTTGCAGATGGCCTTGCCGTCATCGGAGAATGCAACTTTTTGCACTACGTCTGTAACCAAACTGATGCTAGCCATCCCTCAGAGCTCTTTTCAAAGGAATCCCAAACTTTAGTCCTCCCAAGCTACTGGGGACACAACGCAGCAATGCAGAAGTCTGTCTCAGTCTGTGCTTCTGCACGCAAATACATTAATACATTTCTAATCATTTGGTTTGGTCTAAACAGAGCGTCAGCAGTTGCTGTCTGGATAAGGTCCTAGCTGCACTTCAACATCTTGAGATATCTTCTAGTCCTGCCTGTGATAGTTTGCTTTCTAAATTGAATTGTTCTGGGATCACACATTAGAAACACGTTGATAGGGCTCTGCCATGCAGCTAATGACAAGACTGTCCGTGCCTCTTGAATCTTTCCACGTGATCTCATTTCTACAGGTTTTCACGCTCATTCATGCATTTTACCTTCATTAAAGAATGCCCATCTTATAGACCGGAAATTTAAGTCTTTTTAATGTCCTTTTCCCCAGGTGAGGAGAAGGTTGTGCCCAAACCAAAAGTAGGTCTCAAGTCACAGGTTTCGCCTCTCTCCCCGCTTTGGACTGAAAAGCAGTGCCATGCTTCATGTCATCTTGAAGGCCAGTTGTTGCACAGGCAATAATCCCATTACACTGGGTGACGTCAGCCCAGATAAGCTACCCTCAGCCCACTGCCACCATGCCCTATGGCTCTGCCATCATCACTGGGATGTCTCAGCAAATTCGAGGCTTTTGAGCTCGTCTTTAGCACCCTCACAGGTTCGCATCCCACAGACCTGACATAAGCTTAATTTTTCATGTTCACACAAGCTGCAGAAGAGGAACGCTCAGGACTGTCAGGTTCCTGCACAGTTCCCCATCTTAAGAAATGAGAAGTCTGAAAGCCAAAATCTGCTCCTGCAAGAAATCAGGATGATGGCCAACAACACAGCTGTAGGAACACCTCATTTGCTTGACTTGACTTCAAGTAAAGGAATCACAGTCTAGCCCATTGCCTTCACATAACCAGACACCACTAATTTCTGTGCACATCCATGGAAACATGATATACAGAACAGCTATTTCTGTAAGATTTCTATTAAAAATACAGTTCACAAAGTAGATTGCCCCATAACCAGACATGACTTCAAGTGTCTGGGCTTCTCCCTTTGCTACCAGAGAGGGCAGCTCAGGACTGCAAAGCCATTTATTTAGCAGCAGAGCGCCTTTCACAAGTGTCAGCATCCTCCCTTACACCAAGAGGCCTGACGCCTGCTCAGGACAGCCACAGCTCTGTTTGCATCACAGGAAGCATCTTCCAAAGGACAATTTATTGGAAAACTAAAGGATCTTCACAGAAACGCATTACAGTGGCAGGAGCAAACAGAATGGGCAATTTCCTACTTCCTCTCATTTGAATGAGCATAGTAATTTTTTCTTGCGGGGCCATACATATATTCTGTAAAACTCCATTAGCCAAATAAAAACAGTGGTAGGTCATTTAGATTATATAAATGAAAAAAAAAAAAAAAGAAAAAAACCTATCCTGAAGTACTGTATCATAGTTAGAAACCATACCTACAGGATTTATTAGGAGCAGCAAAACTCATACCTCTTTCTTCTTAGATTATAGGCACCATAGATCAAGTTCAGCATAAGATAACTTGAAAATAGAGATTTTACTATGCAAACACACTTTCCCCCCCATTAAAAAAAATAGATTAGAGGAAGATATAAACATCTTATTTATTAAATCAAATAGAAATGCAAAATATATTTCACATGCCTTACATGGAAAAAGAGATGAACTTCCAAGACTTTAAAGCAAGACTGTGTCAGTTGACACGCAGGAAATAGGACATTATAAACAGTCACAAAGAGGAGGAAGAACTGGGGAGAGGTGACATGGGGATGATGGGGAGTTCCTCCCCACTCTGAGAAAGCTCTCCTAAAAACAAGAATGGAGTTTATGCTGAGCAAGCATCACAAGCCTGAAATTAACTTTAACATGTACTTATTTTGGAGGAAGTTGTCTAAAGAAGTACAATTGGCTAATAACTAGTCAAAACAGTGGTCTAAGTTATGTATACCATACTCATATGAAGTGGAAATGGGTTTATTTTTTGAACATCAGTAGGGACAGTAGGAGAATCGGAAACACCAAAAAAAGCTTTTAAAAGCTGGATCAATCCACAGCCGCATTCCATGCGACTCCGCTCTTAAAACAAGGAAAAAAGATGAAAATAGAACTATTTTTCTAAATATTTCAATTACTTTGTCATCCTCCAACTCTTCCTCCCTCCTACACACAACTTCCTGGAAGCTGAAATGACACTCAACAACAAATACAAAGCATACCCTAATAGTATATTCCACAGTTTTTCTAAAGAGTCAATAGTCCAGCAATTTTAAAGTGATCTATGTGCAAAAAATAAACACATGAAAGAGGTTTGTTTTTTGTGTGTTTTTGTTTTTGTTTTTTAAATCCACTGCAGCCTTAACTTCTACTTAAAAAAAAAAATTCTGAGGATTAGCACTAAATTTCCCAGTGGAGGACAGATCAGCAACTGCAAGTATTCTGCCAAACCTGTGACTTGGTGTTGCAGAACTGTCAACATCGCAAGTTTACTACCTGTTGGCAAGTGGAAAACAGACTGTATCCCCAAAAGAAATGGGAAAACCACTATTCATAAACTGGTCTTCCGATATACATAAACATACGGTGCAGGTCTGTATTCAGAGACTGCTACCTACAGCTGAGAACAGTCCTCCCAGCATGACTAACAGTAAATGATTAACAATAAAATGTGCAAGATTCGTAAGAGCAGTATTTGAAGTGTTCCTGACTGCTCAATGCCCCTAGGCCTAAACTATCCCCTCGTTAAGAGTGGTGTAAGTCAGGGCAGCTCTGGTGAAGTTACAGTAGAAATCTCTGTGCATGAGGATTTCTGTGTGAGAAGAACAGTCCCTTGAACTACAGACTAGTTCAGTCCTGACCACACTACAATAGGGAATTGTGTTTAAACCATGAGTAATCATGTAATCATCTCCCAGCATAGTACTTCTTTTCTGCACACATGGAATGTAAATGGCCAAGATTTACAACTGATGATTTTGCAGATTTAATGGATTATATTTCTTTAATGGTTCTGGCAATGCGAACTCAGTTAAAAAAACACCACCAAAAATCCAACCAAAAAAAAAAAAAATCCCACGCTCACTGCTGTCTGCTTTTTTCTTTATTTGATGACTTATTTGGCACACATTTAGGGTTTTCTAACAGTGCGTAAGTGTTCAAAAACATCAAATTACTTGGGCTGGGGCGGGGGAGAAGGGTGGTCCTACAGTTAAAGTCCAGGTGTGGAAGACACACCACAATAGGTAATAAAGCTAAATCACGTTTGCGTAAGTCGTAACTCTTTTGTCTGTGTCATTAGTCTAGAAAACAGAGCAGACATCCCAGTCCCTAAGCAAGGGCTGTGAAACAAAACAATCAGCAACTCATAAAATGCCTTGAGTTTCCCAGATGAAAACTTGAAATAAAACATGAGCAATAAAGTCACTTGGTGTTTAATGGCTTTCGAAGTCACCTTGCAAAACAGTTCAAATATCAAAACTATCCCTGACTTGAAAGCCAAGTGGCAGTATTCTCCCTTTTACCACCCACTGCTGCGTGGGACAGAGGGGCGTTATGGAAGCTGGTGGGGAGACTAGCTGTGGGGATGCGACTGGTCTTTGCCGGGGTGAAGGAACAGCACGCTGGACTACAGAAGAAATCTCACCCCACAACGTGAGGCCTTGAGGATGAAGAATGACAACAAACACACTTGGCCTGATGCAAACCACATACCTTAATGCAGGTGGTTCTGGTGCAGTTCAAAGCACAGTCAAACTGGGTTCGTTTACTGAGGATGGCTAAACACTAACAATACACATCAACATGTGTTTCAAGTGCTGTTAGAACCATACCTTATACAACATTTATCCTTGCTTTTCCCCCCCCGTAATGCACTAAAGTAAATCCAGACCTTAAAGAATAACTTGCATAGTAAGAAAAGGTCATCAATTTCATCATTTACTTTAAGCAGGCAAGCAAATTTGTAAACATTCAAAAGCGGCAGCATCCAAGTTACAAACAATTTAAGGAGAAAAGAATTGAGATTATTAAGGTTTTTTACCCTCTCAGAAATTTTGGAAATAATCTTTTAAAACACTGCAAACACTGAACACTCGCTTATACCTCTTCTAATCCTGCTAGTAGTCCTGCCTTCCAAGGAATTCTGCTTTCTAAAACACACAGTCTCACAATTGCTATACTTTTTAGCATTTGCTGTTCGGAAGTCAGCTACCGGAGCATTTCAGCTCAGCCTAAATCCCATTAGCAAAGGGAATGCTTGTGTCTTGATTCAACACCTCTTTAACTTCTGAGGGCAAAGCGTCAAAGAGGTGATCTTCCACCACGAGCCCACTTTTCCTGAGAAGCTGACACTGTCCCAGCGTGGCTGGCAGACGGTCCAAGCAGTTTCCCTTCAGTTCCAGATGAGTCAGCTGCAACAGTTGACTAATTTTATCTGGGATGGAGGTAATACAGTTTTGTCCCAGACCCAAAGTCCTCAGTTTAACACATTTAAATAACTGTTTTGGCAAAACGTCGACTTTGTTTCCTGTGATGTGAAAATGCTGCAGATTTTGAAGCAAACCTATTTCCACCGGAATCAATGCGATTGAGTTGTAGCTTACATCTAAACACCTAAGTTTCTGTAAACTGAACACTGCAGCTGGTAAGGATTCGAGTTTGTTATTGGAGAGATAAAGAGACTCCAAATTCTTTACGTGGATAATGGAGGAGGGAATGCTGACTATTTTATTGTGCCACAGCTTTAAACAAGTCAATCTTTTTAAGTGCTGGAAACTGATAATTTCTTCAATTGTGCGTATGCTATTTGACTTTAAATCCAGTTCCTGTAGGTTAGAGAGGCTGAAGATGGCATGGGGAATTCTCTCCAGTTCACAGTTCTGCAGTTCCAACTCCGCAACATTAGTCATTTTCTTAAGGCTATTGAGTACCACAAGCTTAGTGCCGTCATTATGAATGACTAGTTTTGTCAGATGTGGTGCCACATCTGTGATATTGGGGGGAATTTTGGTCAAATTGCTTTTCACGTGGAGAATTTTAAGGTGTCTCAATTCTCTGAGAGATTCAAGCCCTATCATTTTATTGTTTTCAGAGTTCAAGTTGCCTATCAAGTACAATTCACGGAGGTTTTTGAGCAAATACACCCACGCAGGAATTTCTGCAACATCTGTGAATTTCACATGAAGGCATCTCAAGTGGTCCCGGAGGAAGCTGAAGGCAGTTTGCTCGACCTTCGCAGGGCAGTGGCACAGATGAAGCTCCTGAAGATTCGTCATCTGGGAAATTTTCGCTGGGATTTTCGCTTCAGGAATCAGCTCCAGTTTCAACATATCTAAATCCGTCAGATCAAACACTGCATCGGGGACCCCCGACAGCATGAAGAGATGCAACTCTTGCTTGTCCTGGGCATTGCGGGAAACATGTTGCCGCAGCTTTTCAAAAGTCCATTCATGGTTTAAGCTAATTTCCCGAAGTTTGTTCTCACTTACCTCTGACAAAAAGACACCAAATCGCTTAGAATATAGCTGGTCGTACTGATCTACCATATGCAAGAGAAATGCAAAATCATTTTTGACATCAGGGATGTCACTGAAGCTACTCTCTTCTCTGACTTTTTCAAAGGAATATTCTTTTAAAGGTATACGGAACAGCCAGAAAAGCGTGTAAAGGCAGATAAAACCATAGACACAAATAAGGGAAATATAGCTGATAAGCAGCTTCTTCAACATGTAAGCCATGTTGTGTGTACATTCAAACTGTGTGTAGCCAATCAGGTGTTCCACTTTTGGGTTGCAGATGTGTTCAAAACTAATGGTGTTGACAAAGTTTGCAGTATAGCAGAGAATAAATATGAACTTCACAGTCTTGATGACAGTCTGGCCAACATAGAGCTTGTAAATCAGATCACTGTCCTCCACGTGAGCCCGGAACTTACGGACTTTCTCAAACAGCGCTTTGGCTTGCTCTCCATCTTTCTTATCTAAAATAGTGACACTGGGAACCTCAATCATTGGCTTGTCAGCCGAAAACTTGAAGCCAGACTTTGTTATCATGGGAGTGCTGGCACTTGGGCTTCCTTCATCACTGCTAGTGGAAACGTACTTGGGCAGGGACTGGGCACCAGTTAACCTCTGTTTGTTCTCCTCGGAGTCCTCGCATGCTGTTTCAGACAATGCTTTCGTAGTCCAAGGGGACTCAAAGCACTTCCCTAATATAGACACAAAATGCTCAATCTTTGAGCAAGTCTTGGGATACTTGAACCAAAAATTGCTACTGACTATTAAAATGATAGTATGGATGAGAACAAGATAGGGAAAATACTTTGAATACCAAGGAAGAGCCAAATGATAGCACATCTGGTTAATAAATACGTATTGCTGAAAATCCAAATTTGTTTTACGGCCTGAAGAATCTTTCTGCTCCTTCTTCAGCTCCTGGCCTGATTCAGTGGGTTGATACTGAGAAGAGGTAGCTCTGCTCAGAGGTACATCAGGTGTTACAGTAGGGGCACTTCCGAAGGAAACCGTTCTCATTGATGCTTCTTCTCCTTGACCAGTGGTTGTTTCAACAGTGGTAAAGTCAGCCTTCCCTGACGAGCCAGGTTGTGCTTTTGAATTTACAGTAGACTGCAAAACGGGCAAGCAGACCACCTGGTCTTTGGTCAGCTGCATGGTTCCAGCAAAAATAGCAACCATTAACATAACAACAGCTAGATAATCCATAAATACATCCCACCATGGTTTCAAGATACGATAAGTTGGCTGGATGTCATTGAGCGATGCAACTTCTGCAAGGGTAAACATTCCTACAAGAGAAAAAAGACAAAATCATTATTGTTGACTGGTGAGCAGGTTATTTTACCATTTAATGACAATCATGGCATGACATGCAGAATGTCAGAAGGTTCCAGTTTTCATTATGTTTTGTTGCCTGTCACACATTGTCCATCATTCCACTCATCGCCATTTTCTCAAAGGTTAGGTACTGAAATGATGCATTACTTCAGCATCAAAACAGAAGTCTTCTCACTTCAGGCCAGATGATATTTACACGTCTTTCCCTCTTCAAAGTACAAGCACCAAGTCTGCTCTCTGCAACTGAAATATCTGAAAGGTAAAGTGCTGTAGCTGGTATGTATTAATAACATGAATAGCAACAGTTGATTACACTGCACAAAATCTGATTCTGTAAAAATGACTGCTTGAGTCTGAACACCCCAAATCCAGCAGTAACATTATTTTGTAGCACCTTGCATTTAAACAAAATGGAATTTGTTAAATGCTTTGTACCTTGCTCATGACACGCACAGCACATTTTAGGTCTCTTGTTACACTATGAGCAAGGTTTCTCATTTCTTCTCATCTAACAATAAGTCAATGTCTCCCACTCCTTGCTATTCAGCATCCACATTGCTTACCAGATTGATCGGCTCCTTTCCCTTAAGTACCACTGCACAACTGAAAGTCTTGCAGTTACTATGTGAATATGTGGCACGCTTTTTAAAATGTGTTTGGATGTCTTACAGTGAGAAATAGTTACCACCTATTCATTGGATCAAATAGTACTGTATAAAATTTTTTTCCCCAATTAATGAAGAAATAATCCTTCCTCAGAAAAATCCAACCCAGCTAACCAAGAAAAAAAAAAACAACAACCCACGAACCACAACTCTTTCTTAACATAATGGGAATTTTTTTTTTTTTTTCAGATTATCATCACAGCCTGGTGGCTATAGGAAGCTGGTTAGTCCAGGTAGCACAGGAACCGGCTGCAAGGCTTTCACTTTAAATTAAACATATGCATTGTGAGGCAAAGTGGCAAACTGATCATGTGAGAATCCAAACCTCTTTGCAGCTTTAAATAGCCTGCATCACTTTTTGTTTTGACGAAATCTAGCGGTCTCAATTTACCAGCTTTTTAAAAAATAAGCTTCCTGTGTAAGAAGGATGTGGTAAAATCATAATTTTAACTGCTCAATTTGTGACCCAAATTTGCCATTTCTAAAGTAAAACATGCAGCTTGTGTGCATACATGGAGTGGGGAAGGAGACAGGATGTACATTATCACACAGTATGGCTCCCGTGGTCGGGAGAAGAACAGCTTAGCAGAGCACAAGGAGATCAAAGCAGGCTGTATAAAAGATCCATGAGACTTATTATCTGTAACTTGTAGCATACCAATTCCTACAGCCCTGTACACCTTACAAACCCTAATGGACAGTGTCACAGGCAACGAATATACAACATGATCATATGATTATTTCTAGCCTACATTTCTCTGAAGAAAACAACAGACATTTCTATGCACAGAACTCAAATATCAGCTACTGCCTGTATGGCCGAAGGCCTGCATTAGTCCCTTCTGCTTGCCCGCACCAGCGCATACCACTTTTGCATACCTAGCCTGGGATTTGGCAAAGGCAGCCAGAGAAGAGAGGCTTTTATCTCGCTGCAGCACTCATCTCAGTTGGTGCTCTTGGCATAATGGCCAAAATGTAAAAGTTAAGGCTCAGTTCCTCAAAGAATGGGTAGAAGGAACTTCCAGCTCTTTCTTTCTTTATTTTCCAGTGGGCAGATGAGTATCAAATACTCCTCCCTCATCAGTAAGTAAGGCAAGTTGTCAGGGTCTCACAGTTCTCCCAGCTCCACAAGCGCCCCCCTCCCATAGCGCGGTGGCTCCAGCGCCTTTCCCACCGCCTCTCCAGCTGCGCTGCTGTGGAAGGGCCAGAGGACACGGACTGGTAACACACCCCACAGCGCCTTTACTTCAACTGAGCTACCAACTCCCATTAACATCTCCCGATCCTTACCCACTTACCCAGGCTGAGTCACAGCATGACTGGTTGCCCTGGAATCACTAACTTTGACATTTAAATATCAACCACGCACAAAAGAATAGCATTAGTCATTTGTACTAATGTGAACGGACACCTGTGAAAGGACCCTCCTTACTCCTAAGGCGCAACTGCCACCTGCCCAGGGCAGGAGAGCCACAAAACAGCAGTAGAGGTTTGTGAGGGTTTTGGTTGGTTGGTTGGGTTTTGGGTTGGGTGTTTTTTTTTGTGTGTGGTTGTTTTTTTTGAGTTTTGTTTTGTTTTGGTGGTTGTATTTTTTGTTTTGTTTCGTTTTTTCCCCCTCCTGCATGGACTTTTTTCTTTCTTGGAAGCTGTCTGGCAGGGATGCTCTCACAGCTCTCCAGGCCATTTTCACTATGGTCTCATCCCCTTTGGCAGCCATGAGAACTTCTCGTCCAGGAGGTTACTGGTGCAGTAGTTCCACAGCAGAGCTGAGAGCCAAACACTCCGCAAGGAGAAGCCACACGCTTACTACAGGCATGCCTCTGCACATGGAGCTGGGCAAGGTGCAGGGAGGAGGCAGCAAGCAGGAGGGGAAGGAGGAAAGGAGGACCAAGATGACTGCTGTAACCAACACGGGTAGCTGCTACTGCTTGTTCCTCCACAGGCCTTTCCTTCAACTCTGCACTAGCTAATTACATGGGAAGTTACTTTACTGTGGTTTGGGGCACAACCTGCAGAATTCCTTTCACGGAACAAAGGTAGTTGTGGATTTTTTTGCTTCTGCCACAGGAATACGTGGATAACGCACCAAAACCTAAGCACTGCAGACATGGATGATCTGAGCAGCTGAAATAACAGAAAAGAAACAGAAGAGCACAAAGTGGTTCCAGATAGAGACTTGGAAAGATCAATAAAAGAATCTAAAGCTAAATGTCACCTCTACCAGACCTCTGTCTTGCACAGATACAAAACGATTTCAAAAAAGGTTAGGAGACACAACAGAGCCTGTGTAATCATCTTTGTGAGGTTGTAGGCTGCGTGGTGTAACAGGAGCTTTACACCGAGAGGTACCACATTCAGTGCTCTGAGCATGCCTTTTCTTTCCAGTTACTGATACTCACAGAAGAGCTCTTGTTTTGGCAGAGATTAGAAGTTATAAAACACAGAAACACCCCTCTGTAGTATTATTATCTAACACTGTGTCTCAAAGAGAGGCAGACCTTTTTCTAGCTAGCAAAAATAAATTCCAGGAGCTGAAAACAGGTTTCTGTCCTCACATCTGAAATACTTAAGATGCTCCGAGTCTTAAAAACCAAAATAAAAACTATAAACCTACACAGTGTAAGACACATTCTGACTGACAGATATAAAATAAATTTTGTATTTTCTCTCTTAAATCCATCACTACATGTATTAGTAATTAATTTTACTAAACTAATAACCGTAGAAGTTCACTTAGATTTTATTTTTGCAGATGCTTAGAAATCAAACTATTAAGAGGTACTCAGAACAACAGGTCTCAACAATATTGTAATGTGTTTAGGTTTTCTGTATTTCATGGTTAAATTTAACAATTTAAAGCTTTTAAAACCTTTTAAAGCCTACTGTCCAGGATATTCGCTGGAACAGGTAGACAGTATTTTCATGACTAATTTTCACGACTAATTTTCACTTCCTTTTAAGGGTGTCAGATTGGGGTTGGGGTTTCATGATAAACTGCAGTGATGACACAGTAGTAAGGAAAAGGAAAAAAGAAAAAAAGAAAAAAACCCATCCCATAAATGTCACTCTGACAGGTAGGGCCTGCAACTCCCTGCCACAGGTGGTCTTCTTTCAAGACCAGTGCATGCTCTATTTACAACCTCGATGCAAAAAAAGTCTGTAAGCAGGTAGCTCAAACTGAAGAACAAAGTACTATGCAGCTGATAAGCCAAAATGTCTGATTTCTCATTGTGAAAACATGTATTTCTTTCATCCCTTTTCAGGGCTTGCAAGGCACCTAATGGACCTTGAGGCTCAGTGGAACACGGGGTTTTGACACACCAAGATCTAGACCTGAACTAGAAAACTATGGTTCTTGAAGAGACATAATTTTTAGTTCGCAACATGGAATTTCAGGACACGGTTTCCTGTTTAAAATAGCGTATTTTAGTTTAGTTCAGTAAGCACAGATTTAAATTCAAACCTACTGCAGTATGACCTTTAGGGCTGCACAGTTACACAAAATAAGGAAGACCTTTAATTTTAGCAAATAAGCCTTTTTACTTCCAAACCCTTTTGTCTCCAGTTCTGCGACTCGGATGATGCTCTAGGATAACATTAACCTCTCTCAGCTCCATTCATTACCTCCAGCTATCTACTGGGTGCACTCTTTCTCCTGGGGGAAAGAAAAAAAAAAAATTTCTTTCTAAACAAATGCAACTGTTATAAGCACAACTGCTTCTTACTACCTTCTAAGATTTCAGGTGGAAAAAACTTCAAGTTCTGAAAGCAGCGTAGTACTACCACCCTTTTCATTGCTATCATGATACAGAGCTCTCCAATTAAACCCACTTTGGTTATTTTGCAGTTATACAAGTTACAGTGAAAACAGAATATAAAAAGAAAAAATGTAACAATGACAATATAAATGTTCTAAGTTACAGGCCCATGTTAAATCAGCAAGGCTAACAACCAATTTAATAAATCATACTTCTTGCCCAATTATAATCCTTTCATTAGTCTTAAAGAAAAGCTATAATAGAAAGAGCTCAAAATGTGATTAACCTGGTGAATTTTGCTGACATATTTCAGACTATAAATGCTGAAATACAAAGTGGACATATTGGGGTTATTTCCTAAGAAACTGTTCTAGCTTAAATACAGAAGTTAGAGGAAAAGGAAACAGCAGATTGGTATGTCACTAATGTTTATTTAGATCCTACTTCTTCCTGTACTCACTGATAAAAACTTCATCTCTCTGCCCCTGTAATTCACGGGCCCTCCTGCTTTAAAAGCATATTTAAA